TACATATAGCCGACGGGAGACCACGGGCGCGACGCTCGCACAACGTCCTGGGCGCGTCGAAAGCGTGGTGAAACTGGATAATGCCCAAGAAACGCCCCCGCAACTTGCCCCCGACTGGCCCCCGCCCCCGAGCGGCGCGCCCGACGCCGGGCAACGCGGGGCGCGGAGCGGGCCGCCTTCCAAAGCTCGACGCGCTCGCGCCAGCACCTGCCCCGAAGTCGGCAAAGAGGAGCGACGAGCCCGGCTGGGCGCCTCCCTCTGCGCCGATCGATCAGGAAGGTGACTTCAGCGCCCACGAGCACCGCCAGGGGCGAGGAGAGCGCCTCCGCGAGGGGGGGGCAACAACAACCACTTGGAGGACCTCGCCCGACGACCGCCTGCCCTGCACCTGGAAACTGCCGGCCGCCCGAGCCGATCGAGTAGAGCGCCTGGCCAGCGCGTCTCGTGCCAAAGAAGGCCATGCCTGGGCGGGCCCCCCCGGGCCCCGTGGCGCCCCCGGCCCGCGCAACTGCCGGCGGCCTTCCAACGCGCGGATGAACGACCCGCTTCCTTCCGAACCGCGCCGGCGGGTCAGAGACAACCAGCCCGGCGGCGTAGGGGGTAGCGGTGGGCCTCCACCCTGGAGCAGACCCCCTGCCGAGGTGAGAACCCCCCATGCCAGCGTTCCTAAGAAGGAAGCCAACTCTTGCCAATTCGCCGCAAGGCTGTCTGCGTCTCCGCTGAAACTCGAGCGCGGGCCTGGCCAACCCGCTTTCAAGCTGGCACCGCCTCGGCTTGCTCCAAGCCCGCCGCGCGCTTGGCAGCCGCGGCCACGGCGGCGCATTCTGCGACGAGAGTGGCATGCTCACCGGCGACATCTCGGACATAGGGCGGCGGCTCCGACGCGCCGCGACGCGCTCCTGCGCCCTCCTTGCCGGCCGCAAATCTACCGGGACCTGGCGAACTCGATTGTGCAGCCGCTTCGCGGTCGCCGTCTGGGGAAACCTGGGGGGCGGCGCCCCGGCGTCGAACTTGGGCCCTTGTCTCCATTGCGGAGCGCGGGGCCTGCCCCCATGGGGCCCTGACTCAGCGCGCCCTCGCCAGCCGAACCCAATGCCGGCAGGGCCCGCGCCGCCCCTCGGCCGCGCCGCCAGCTTCCGACTTCCCAGGGGCCCGCGGACCAACCCTCGGGCGGGGCCCCGAGATTTAGCTGCTCGGTAGCAAAGTGGGCAGCGCAGAGTGTCACGCCGAAACTCAACGCATGCAGATCAGCCGCTCGGGGGGCCAGGCGGGCGCTGCCTGCCAGGCGTCTCAGCCTCGATGGCGGCGTCTGCAATCGGGGCCGCAGCCTCGACAGTTTTGGCCGCGCCTGACGAAACAAGAACAGCCTCAACGTGCCCTCATCCCCCCTTGGCCAGCGAAACGAGCGGACTCCGCCTCCGAGTTGATCGCCCGGCCATCGCGCCGGGAGAACCACTTTGAATTGGGGCGGGCCAGCTGCAGGCCCGCCCCAATCAAACATGTTTCGCCCAACGCATTCAGGGAGCCTCCGGGGCTGCCTGGGATGTTCCATCGCTCCCTTCTGACAGTCATTCGGAGGCGCGCATGCACCCGCTGCCCGCCGCGATGCGAAAGGCCCGCGCAGGGTCTCATTGCTGAGTGGAGGCCGAGCCAATCACAGCCAGCGCCGCCACGCCACCAGAGGCGCCCGCCACAGGGCCGCCGATGGCACTGCTGAGCATTATCTCGCCGATGGACGGTCGTCAACTGTAATCCCTGTTTCAATAAGCACAAGGAAAGCTGGTCCTTGGGGGGCAAGAAGAATGTGGACACGCCCGCGCCCGCGCGCCTGGGCCACCGATGCCCCGTTCCCGCGAGCAGACAAACAATCTGGCCATCAGAGGGTCCACAGGGCCCACGCGAACTGTTCCGTCTAATTTCGGAGCCCCATGGCCACTCGCCGTGGGCGCCGAGACTAAAAGAGCTACCTAGAACTGCCTAGCAGCGGCTGGCCCCGACCCCCTCGCCCGAGAGTCACCCCAGCGGAATTTGTTGCGGGTGAAACGAAAGGCTCTCGCGCAATTCATGTCTGAGCCCGAACTCTAGGATCCCCCAAAGCCAAGGGTTGTGCCCTTCTGAAGTCCCATGCGGCGGAGACAAGCGAAACCTAATCTGATTACTCGCCCCCCTGCGCCCCAGCTTTGGGGGGCTCGAAATTCGGTATGCCTGACGTCTCCAACAATATTTGAACCTTTGACCGCGCATCTCCATGACTGGCGATAGCAACAGCAGCTCCACCCCTGCCGATAGGGCGCCCGGGTGAAGAAGTCAGCAACAGACGCCTGGCTAGTTGCAACGCCAAGGCTCGCCTTCAACGCCGATGCTGCCTTGACTTCCTGCCGGGTGATATGCTGCAGGCCCGCCTGTCGCAGTGCCTCCGCTGCTCGTCCGCTGGCCCTCGCTGGTTTTTTTTCTCTTCGACATGCGCTGCTTGTGTTCGGCGCGTTCCTTCCTGGTCGCCTCAACTGGTGCGAAAACCCGAGACCATAAGTCATTGGCGTAGCGTTGTAAAGCCTCTTGCGTTTGATCCATTCGTTTGTCGATATATTTCTTCTTCAGTTTCAGACGCTTCGTACTCAGCATCAGCTAAGCAGAAGGCTACGTGATCGAACATTCTTCCGTTCCAATCTCAGCGTTGGCAAGCATGTTGATGCAGATATTGGCTGGCGCCAATGGTTTAGCCTGAGCACAGCCTGCCTACCAGCCCTGTAGCGATATTCCGTTTTTAAGATGGGGCGAGCTCGGCATGCACCTCTGAGACCCTGGTACGCTGTTCGCTGGCTGCCCCAAGAAACTGCTCGAGCTTGCCCGACTCGCTCTGAACCCCGTTCGCAAAACATGGCCACTATTGAAGGTGCCGTCGAAGCCAGCTGTTGAACTGGCGTGGGGAGCTCGGACTTCTCGTGTTCAGTCAACACAATTCTTTACTTCCACACTGCCAGGTATCGCCCGCCTTCTCTGACAAACTGACAAACTGTTTCATCTCACCCTTGGGCAAAAAACTGCCACTCGAACCGAACATGACTGATGGCGAAACGGTCGGGTCGTTCACCTCCGTGCGAATCAGGATCGGGACGAAGCGAAGAGCGACGAGGATAGGTACCTTCGGGACCATCCTGTGGCGACTGGTGTTCCGCATGCTCGCCTTCGTGCCGTGGAGCCTTACAGTGTCTGCGTCTGTCCATGCAACCGCCACTCTTCTTCTGCCCGCATAACCCGCAATGCCAACGGCGAAGACGCGAGAACTTGCGCGGAGGGGACCATCGGCCGCTGCCTTTCCTGTTGCTGTTGAGCGCCCTGCGCGCTGCATCTCGCCTGGCACGCAAGCTGCCCTGTCGGGGGGGGGTCACCTCCCTCCCTCCCTTCCGCTGGGCCCTATCTTTCCCACCGTCCATCGGCCATGGGGCATAAACTGAAGGAACGGGTGCGCTAAAAAACCGCCCGAGCCAAAGGCCCCCTGCCGCAGCAACGCCCTTCTGAAGCTCGCTGCGGCAAACCCAAAAATCGGGGCCAGAGGGGCTGAGCGATCGAGGAGGAAGAGGAAGAGAAGGAGGAGGAAGGGGAGCAGGAGGAGGGCGGAGGAGCAGAAGGAGTGGTAAGACTGCCGCCCTTGGCACCTCGTTGACCTGATCTTGAAAGACCCCTGCCACGATTGATGCGGGAAGGTTGCACTGCTCCACCCACTTGCTTGCGTTGCATTTTCCAGGACATGGTCTGTCCCATCGCACCTCTATCCAATTCAAATCCGCGTCTAGACCGTGTCGATCGCGCCGAATCCACGTCGAATCCACGGCGAATCCGCGTCGGATCCACGTCGAATCCACACCGAATCCGCGTCGAACCCACGTCGGATACGATATATGACCCTCACATCCAGAACAAGCATGGCCTCCCGAATGTGGCCGGCGGGCGCGCAGCACGGAATAGCCGGCGTTGGGGCGCGGCGAACTATACCTCACCGCGAGAGCGAGGGGGGGCGGATAGCGGCCGCGGAAGGGCGAGTGCGGACGGGCGGCGACCTCATACCGCAAACGCAAAGCTGCTCGCCGCCCTGCGCCGCGGAGGCTGCGCTGTGCTGCCACCCCGTGAACGCTCTGCTGCGCGCCGCCAGGGCATGTCCGACCGAGTACCAACCTCGATTGCACTGACGCGCCCAAGAGTGGCCCCGTGCTCCTAAATCCAGAGGACGAGGAAGCTGGGGCGACAAACAATACCGATGCCGATGCTCCCTGGAGCTCTCCTAGGGCGCGTTCTGACCAGGCTCACGAGGCGAAGCCAGCCCGTCCCAGGAGGTCCCAAAAGGCAAAACCCAGAGAAGAGCATCGCAATCTGTTGGTTTTCCTCCTCAGAGGAGCGAGGAGGACGAAAGGGGAATCTAACCAAGGGGGGCCAGCGAATCAGCCAATGTAGCTGGTTATCCTGTCATCTCCGCGCGCGGGAATCGGCCGCGCGTTGAAGAGAGTGCTTGGGCAGCGGGGCCGCAACCAGCTACGTGCAACCGATCTCGTCGGACCTGCTAGGGGCGAGGGTGAGGCGAGGAGGTCATCTGAGCACGGACGCGAGGGAAAACCATCTACATCGGTAAGTCTGTGATTCTCGTCGGGGGAGCTTTTGATTCTGACTCGTTCTCTAGCAGTCGTGGGCCAGGGGGGGGCCTCATAAAAGAATGGCAACTATGTTCTCTCGGGACCCCTCTCCTTCGCGGCGCCGAAAGAGCGGGGGGGGGCGATGGGGGTCGTCCGAGCACGGGCACGAGACGCGGAGGGGGGGGGCGGACAGAGATTGAGGAGGACAAGGAGGGGGAGGAGGAGGAGGAGGAGGAGGAGGAGGAGGAGGAGGAGGAGGAGCAGGAAGGGGACGAGAAGGAGACGAGGAGACGAGGAGGCGAGGAGCGGCGGTAGCCTGAGGGCGGGCTCCTGTGACGGCGCGGCAGCGGGCCGCGGCGGCGGGGAGCCTAAATCTCAGCGGGCTACTTCGTGAAGTTGAGGCGGTCGAGGGCGGCCAGCTGCGCGCACTAGTGGTGCTTGTAGGCGTAGTCGTTCGCGCCCTGGGTCTTCACCTCGAGGTGCGTGTAGTACGAGAGGACGAGGCGCTGGATAGTCATCGACAACGAGTTCCCCGTGCTCAGCATAGTGATGTCCCAGCCCCAGGCGCTCCAACACAGAGGCATGCGAGAAGGTACGTGGCAGGCATGCCGGATGTTGCAGACGGTCACAGACCAGGTAGTGGGCGATCGCGTCTGGCTCTGGCTGCTGGAGGCATCCAAGACGGCACTGATCCACATCGGGTGTCACATGCATGCGAGAGCTCGCGTGCCATCCACCCGCGAGAGTCCGCAAGGTGATCCACCGCCATGAAGGAGCTAGCGTCACCAGGCAGCTTTTGAGGGTGGTCCAACGCAGCTTCAGGTCGTGCGGAACGATGGCAACCCCATACCAGGACGCGAGCCGCTCGGCGATGGTGACCTGGAAATCGCCCTTCATCCAGTGGGAGGTCCGGGCCGAGATGAATGCTCGCTGCGGCTTGGGTTTGGAGCCAGCTTCGACGGCGTCCCGCACGGCCCGGTGAGCAATGACCACAGCGCGAAGAAGATCATAGTGGCGATGGGCTGGAACTTGGGCGGGACGGCCCTGCCTCATCTCGTTGAGGCGCTGGGCAGTCGCCTGCGGTTCCTTCCAGAAGACAGGCGACCATTTGTTCGTCACGAACGCAGGGAGTCCGCAAGCAGCTTGGGCCATCTCGAAGAACTCCTGAAACAGGGGCTGCACCAGGTGGAAAGTAAAGTGAGCGGCCCGCCATTGAGCACCAAGCGAGTACGTGAGCATGGAGCGCGGCGCAATGCCAGGCATCCAGTTGTTGAGCGAGTGGACATCTTTGAGGCGAAGGGTGCTGGGAGGCATTCGAAGAACTTTGTGAACTGCATGGATATCCTTTCGCTTGGGCTGCGGTGGGAGATCAAAGAACTGCGCCTGGTAGCCGAGGACGGTGATCGCCGACGTCTGATAGAGCCTCGCATTGGCGTCTGTGGGAGCTGTCGCACTGCCAACGACCACCGCGTTCTGCCACCACTTGGATCCAGCAGCAGCCCATTGTAGATCGTTGTCCGCAACAGGGCCCACATGCACCCCAAGAGACAGACCTTCAGCCGCAATCTTGAGAGGGACCCAGTCGGGAAGGTGGCCCTGGAGGAAGGCGGCCACGTCGTCGCGGATCGCGTCGGTCAGCTTCGCCCACAAGGGTATGATGACACATTTCTTGACATTGAGATGAAGATCCCCGAGCACCGCAGCTTGATTAAAAACGTCAGCCAGCGGAACCATGAGAGCCATGCGTTGAAGGTAAGGACCGAGATCATCGGCACGGGCGCCCGCGTTACCGCCGTTGGGGTTGGGCATCACAACACTGACAGCTCTGATAAGGACATCCATCGCAATGGCCCAGGTGGTGCCAGACAGGGGGCAGCCTTGGGCTACTCCAGATGCCAAGGGGCAGACAAAGTAGCATTGGCCATCGAGAATGGCGAAGCCCATCGCATGGTCGTACAGAGCAGCGACAGCATTGACAAAACCCAACTCCAACTGGAACTGGTTGAGGGAAGAGCCATTGCCTCCCCAGAGAGGGGAAGGCAGCAGCAATATCGAAGAGAAGCAGGACAAGCTTATCAAGTGAAACATCAGCATTCCAACCCGCCATTCCAGGAGGAGAGGAGGAAGAGGAAGAGGCGGAACGCAGCAGAGAGCGGGCCCCTCCCCTGTTGGCCACGCAGCGGCGGACGGCGGGCTGCCTCAAGCCTGGAACAGGCTATTGCTGTAGATGCCGACGTCTAGCCTCTTAGAATTTCCGTCCGGCCGGACGTTTTGCCTCTTCGAATTTTCTCCCGGCCGGACGTCTGGCCTTTTCGAATTCCCTTCCGGCCGTTTGTCGTGGCCTCTTGGAATTCCCTTCTGGCCAGACGTCTGGCCTTCAGACGCGGTTGTCGTGGCCTCGAAGAGTCCGTCGAAGAAGACGAGGAAGAGGAAGAGTCTGAGCTAGCCAACTCATCGGCTTGCCTGGCAGCGAACACCGCTTGACGGACATCACTGCGTCGCAGTAGACGTTTCTGATTGCCGCGTAGCGGGAGTCGAATCGACGGCCGAGCAGCTTCGACCAGATTGTGCGCATCGACATAAGTAGGAGGACTCGGAGTTCTGCCGCTCATAAGACGGTAGTTGTGGTACATCGCGATAGTGCTCGCGACCGAAGGACCACGAAGCCCCAATCGGAACTCGACGGAGCACAGGAGGTCATACTTCAGGACTTGAGCACCAACATGTTGACCACGCTGGCGAGACCGTGTCTGGGGCGTTATGAATTCCATACATATATATATATATATATATGCGCTGCGCGTTTCTCTGCATCCTGCAATTCGTGATCCAGCAACCAAGATATGTCCGCAAACAAGTCATAGACCAAGATACGGGAAGCTCTGCCAATCGTGCAGCTACTGCAGTGAGATCAGCTGCACGAACATTGAAGTGCTTCCGCAGCCGCGTCTGGAGCAACTGGCCCAGCCGAGGAGGGAATGCCGCGCGAGTTAAGATCTGTTGGAATATTGCTTGCCATTTGATTCGCGGCGACCGACGCGTAGAGAAAGTTCCCGCGGCACCTGCAACAGCACGAAACAGAAGACCAGGAAGCGGGTCAGAACCAAATAGAGTGCAGACCGTGGCCGGCACACTGCGTGCTCCAGAATGCCAGACAGCCAGCGCCGCATGCCCTCCACACTCGAGCTGCGGATCGCCCACGAACCCCTGCGCGGCATCCTCAAGAAAGCACTCAAACGGACGTGCCTTCCAGAAGCTAGGGTCCATAACTGGAGAATCCCATAGATCTCCTGTGCCATGCTGCACAAGAAGTTCACGGTGCACCATCAGGCGATGCTGCCAAGTAGAGCGCGTGACCAGCGCCGAACGCATACGAGCAGCAGCTTCCATTGTACACATGGATGCAAAGCGAGGGCGGGTTCCACAAATCCAAAGAAAAGCAGCCACCGGTCCGTGACATACTACTCGGAGTGCGGATAAGACGAGAGAGAATATGACGTTGTACCTGAGACGTTTTCCAACCAAGAGGAACCAGCTGCGCGACATATCCAAGGGCAGGAAGGGCACCCTCACGATAAAGATCAACTAGAAGCGATGACGGAGCGCCTCGCCTGCTGAAATCGACGGAGCGAGTCGAATGCTTCTCGAGCGGCCCCTTCCGTCGAGCCGCAATCGTGGCTCCGGGTCCGATCTAAAATGCTAAGTAAATGCTCGAGCTCGAGAAGACGACAGCAGCCCGCGATGTATCAGCAGCTTGCAAGTGGACGCGGAGCTCGGCAATCGCCATTACGCAGGTGGGATGCCGAAGAGGGATCACAATACCTTTCTTGTGCTTAAGGTGCAAGTTTGCGAATGCAGCTGCGAGCCGAAAGACACGAACGAGAACGCGATAGCCACGACTATGGAATATAACAACACCCAGATCGTCTGCACACGAACGCGACACTCCCAGCAGGATACTCCTCCGCTTGAGCGAAGACTCCAGATCCAGAAGAAAGAGAGAGCGTCATCCACCGCCGCTTTACTGTGGAAAATTGCCGCCCTTTTCCTCCGGAGCCCGGCCCCCCCCCCCTCCGAAAAATCCGCCCCCCCCCTGCTGGAACCCCTCCCCCCCCCTCCCCCCCCGGCAACCTCCCCCCCCCCCCCCCCCCTCGAGCTCGAAAACCGGGGGGGGTCACTACCGGTTCGAACCCCCCCCCCCCCCCTCGAAAACCGGAGGGGGGGGTCACTACCGGTTCGAACCACTGAGCTGTCCCACTGTTCCCACCGCTGTCCCCACTGTCCCTACCACTGTCCCCACTGTACCTCTTTCCCACTGTCCCACCGCCGTCCTCGCCACCGCCTTCACCACTATCCCCACCACCACTGTACCCTCCACCGTCCTACTGTTTCCACCACATTCCCACTGTTCCCACACCACTGTCCCCACCACCACCGTCCCCACCACTGTCCCACTGTCCCCACTGTTCCCACCATTGTCCTCACCATTGTCCCCACCACTACCGTCCCCACCACTGTCCCACTGTCCCCACCACTGTCCCGCTGTCCCCTCACCACTGTCCCCACCACCACCGTCCCCACCACTGTCCGCACCCCCCCTCGGTTTTCGAGGGGGGGGGGGGGTTCGAACCGGTAGTGACCCCTCCCGGTTTTCGAGCTCGAGGGGGGGGGGGTTCGAACCGGTAGTGACGCCCCCCCCTTTTCATGATGAGCTGGGGGGGGGGGGGTTCGAACCGGTAGTGACCCCCCCGGTTTTCCGGGGGGGGGGGGGAGGGGTTCGAACCGGTAGTGACCACCCCCAGTTTTCCGCTAGCAGCGGTAGAACACGCTCTTTCAGAAGAAACGCATGAGCAGCGATAGTATAAAGCGAGTCACTTAATGGGCACCTCTGCAGGACACCACACCACATGTAGAACAAGAGCTCCAGCGAGCCCCCCCGGAAGAAACACGGAGAGCAGAAGGAACGAATCATGAGAGCCTCGAGCACTTGCTTGGGGATCTTGAGGTGCCGAAGACAAAGAAAGAGCCAAGCCTGACTGACTGATGGAGAGGCCTGATCAAAGTCGAAGGTTATCAGCGACGGGGTCTCAGATACCATATGTTGAGCAAAGACACTTGCAGAGCGAGCATACGTATCCAAATCCACCACATTCTTCAAGAAATTGCGGGCCTTGATAAACCCGTTCTGGGTACGCGCGCCGATGATTTGTGTAACCTAGATGAAGCACTTGTTCAAGACTCCACACATGACCTTTTTGGTCGTGCTTTTGAGCCCCAGGGGATGAGTATCGGAAACAGCACGCCTAACACCACCAGAATCGGGCTCACCAGCAGGGTCTTTGAGAGGCTTGGGGAGAAATGCGGCCAGCAACGACGTACATCCAGTATACATGAGGTTGCCACTCGCAATCCATCTTTGCACGGAAATGAGGATCTCAGGGCCAGCTCCAAACTTTCAAGAAGCGTAATGCAAGCCACCAGGACCAGGGGCAGCCCAAAACGCAGCTTCCAGCAAAAGACGAACATCGTGAGCAACAGGAGGTGGGATATCAGTAAAGTCGACCGAACTCGAACACCGCCGAAGATATTGAACACCACCTTGGGGAACCTGAGAAGCCTTCGAGAACACTGGGGCCCAGTACCGATTGAGTTCGCCCGCCAGATGAGACTCCGAAGCCGACCCTCCATCAGCACCTCCTTCCTGGATGGCTTGAGTCTCCTCCTTCATCACACCTGCTAGGTACCTGCGCCTAAGCAGCGGATTCCAGAGTTGCGCACAACGAGCTGCTGCCCGTTTCTGACCTACGAGACGTGCATTCCGTCCTGGAGCCGTCTCACGGGTAACCGCCGTCTCGAGATCCATCCTCCTCCTGGCCGCCTCCTGCCTCTGAAGATGCCCATGCAGGTCCTGGGACGACGACGCTTCCAAGAGACTGACCGAATACGACTGAATCTGGATGTACTTCCGAACCCAGGGATGCTGGAGCCAAAAAAACTTAGCCAATCGAGAGTCCTGTCTCCAAACGCACCTAGCGACTGAATGTGACATCACCGCTCTGGGCGTGAGCGAAGAAATGGAACGAAGACGAACGTCTCTTACCAATGAGCCTGTGGCCTGCCTCACCCGGGTGGCCGTCATGAATGATATGGGAGGGTAATGACACAAGGACTCGATACCTACCTCCTTCTCCAATGCCATGACGACGCTCGCGTAGAGAGGATCCTGATACACCAATTTCGGCAGAGGCCTCGAACGAGGAGACAACTGCGATGAACGTGGGCCCCAGGAAATCACGAGCGGGGAGTGATCAGAAAGCCCAGCACGAAAGAGTTCTTGTGGTTCCTCCCAGCACGCGCTGACTGGAACGACTGGCAGAGCACGCATGGAGGTGAGGCAATAATACATTAATCGATTTTGCTGGCCGACTGCGTCCCCTCATGCCAGTGCGTGGGAACATCGGAGGCCAGCTCGGTGAAACACCGAAAGATACAGCGCCAAGCAGAATCACCAGTCCTCCCCGCTCTCGAGGAAGCTGCACGGGCCACCCGTAACGGCCCTTGAGGTACAGCACGAGGGTCTTGACGAGCAGAGGCGGTGGCTCGCACACTTCTCTCAGCAGACATACAAGAAGAAGAGGAGGATGAGGAGGAGGAGGAGGAGGAAAACGAGGAGGAGGAGGAGGAGGAGGAGGAGGAGAAGGATGATGATGAGGAGGAGGAGGAGGAGACGTGGAGGAGACGAGGAGAAGGCAAGGAGGAGGAAAGGAAAAGGCGAGGAGGAGGAGGCCATGGGGGGGGGGGGCGGCGGCGGAGGCGCTCCAGCCGAAGAGCCCCCCCCCCCCCCCATCTGGGCACGGGGAAGGAGCCCCCAGGCGGTGGCGAAGTGCGCGATCTCTCTGTCCTGCGCCTGCGCCAGGGAGGAAGCGAGAGGAGAGAGAGCGGGGAGGAATGGGAAAGACGGCGCAGAGAGCGAGGGAAAGCGATGGAGGGAGGGAAAGGAAGAGGAATAATCATGTCCCTGACCTTCTCGCGCAATGGAGAACACGATGGAGAGGTTTGGGTTTTTTGGTGAGATTTTGGTGGGATTTGGAGCCCTGACTAGGCCCCGGGACAGCCAACAAACGAATCTGGATGAGAAGCCAGTCCCGAGACAGGGCTCGAGATTTCCAGGGGCGGACCTTGTGAAAAAAACGTAGGAGAACAGGGGTGGAGGAAAAAAAGAATAATGAAAGGGAGGGGTAGAGAAAGGAAAAGATGCTCACAGGAGTTGCGGGCTCTTCCTGGCGACTAGCTGTACTACCCCAGAGTTCATAGATAAGATCAACTTGGCCTGGGACCAAGGAGTCACCACTCGAAGAGCCTATTGGGCAACGACGACCACCGTCACATTCGAAGGTGGACGACGACGACGACGAAGGGCTAGACAGGGAGAGAGCCAATGGATCGATCCTGGCGCACGGCCGACCCACGAAATATCGATCCACGATCGACCCACGGCAAATACTGAAATACCGATTCACGATTGATCCTGAAGACAGAGAACGGGACGATCCACGATCGATCCGTAACCTGCGACGTGCGACTGAACAGGGTCTTCCAGCGGCATGGCGTCGGGCTGCGCACGCACGGCCCCCATAGGGGTATAGGCCTAGCTGGCTCCAACGTTTTGGTACGCAGCGACCGAATTCTCGTCACCGCCGAACCCACGGCGGCTGCACTGTGATGCGCAAACGGAAAATAAGGGAAGCGGCCGCGGAAGAATGAAGAGAAAGGGACAACGGCTGGCCGCAACAACAGACTCGAGAAGCCCAGAAATTGACGGGCCAAGCTCTTCCTGTCCCGCGACAAAGGGGACCTGAGACTTAAAAGATGGGTCGGCGCTTCAAAAATGGGGCCCTGGCAGATGGGCCCCTAGGGCGAGGGGGTCTCGAACAATGCAATACCGACGTGAAAACGACTTCCATCCGCGGGGGTCTACAGCGCCGGCCTGACTCGGCGGTCGCTGCGACGCAGGCGGCCCCGCTGGCGCCGGCACCGCAGCATCGCGCACCGCTCACGGGCCGTTGCGCGCAAGAGCGCCCGTGATGGCGGTAGCGGTGTCGGCCGGCCTGGCGGCCGCGTCGGCTGCTGACGGCATGGCCCACGATGCCAATGACCCTCGCTCCGACTGGGCGTGTCCTGCAGGCGGCGCCGCGCCCGGCATCGGTGCGTCGCGCGCGCCGCCCATCGCGTCGATGGCGCGCGCCTCGGCTCCGAAATTGACCTCCAAAGCCCTCCCGCTCAGGCCGTGCGGGGTTCTGGCTGGCGCCAACTCTTTACCGGGGCGCTAGGCAATAGACTGGCGTCGTCGTCTCCGCGGGCGCCGAAGTAGAGCTCGCCCTGCCAAACGCAGCCCTCGGGGCAGTTCCTGTCGCTCATGGCAACCACATGGGCGACGATGCGAAGCGCCGTCGCCCCGTCGAGCCCGTCGGCGAGGAGGACGTCGTCGGCGGACCTCCAGATGTCCACTCCGCGCTCTATCTGTTGATTCATCTACGTGGCCGGCATCGCATCGGAGTCGCTGCGCACGCCTGGTTGGATGCGCGGGCCTGCTGGCAAGCGCGGGCGGCCGCGGATGAACTGCCTGCCGCTCGTGCGCTTCGACCTGTGGTCCGCGCGGCAGCACGGTCCACGGCGGAAGATGGGCTCGAGGAACTCGACGCAGGTGGCGCGCGTGCAATCTTGGGGGCCACCTGGCAATCCTATAGCGGTGGACCGCGACTGCAGCGAGATGGGCGCGAGCGCGCCTGGACCCGCGCGGCCGCCCGTGGCCCCGATGAGGTGCCAGGGCCGCCTCTGTCCCCAGGGATGGCACTTAAACTGGAGCCAACCCTCATGCATGCTGGCACGGGCGTCTGCCGCGCTTGCGGCCGCGAGCAGCGCCGACGTGACGTTGTCGGGGCGCTGGTCCACCATCCACACCCTGACCGCTTCGTACCACATCCCGTATTCGACCCATTCCAACGCGTCTCGAACGCCCGCCCAGCCGTCGTAGACGTCATCGGAGGGGGCGCCCTTCTGGAAGTGCTTGCTGACTTGGTCGTCGTGGAATGACTGGTGGCGAGAAGTAGTGGACTGCGACTCAGATATATCGGAGAGCTCCGTTTGTCGCGGTAGTTGGTAGCAGAGGTTCGCCGTGACTCATCCTTCAGTTGATTCTCCAAATCCTGTGACCGCAGTGGCACGCGGCCGCGCGAGGTGTCGTGGATGTTCTGCTTCTCTTTCACAGCCGGCGCGTTGCAGTTCGCCCTGCGCATTGCCTCGCGCGGTCCCCAGGTATCCGTCGTCGTCGGAAATCTCGATCGGCTCCTCTGCGCGCGGCCGCGCTGATGAGGAGGTCTTGCCTGCGGCCTGGCCTGCGCGACCCCGCCCGCCCACTGGCGAACCAGGCCCTTGCGAAGACGCGTGCACTTGCCAAAAGCCTGGCTGGCATCTGCGGCCGGCGCGCCAGGCGCCGCGGACTTGCGAATGCCTGGCTTTCGCGGGCGGGCCTTGGCGCCCATGCTCTGGGAGCAGTCGGCGGCCGCGGCGTCGGCGCTGGCCTCTGGCGGGGCCGCGGCCTTCGCCCACGTGTCAAATGTCGCAACCGCCTGGGCGCAGCGCCTGCGCGCGACCAGCGCTGTGGACACGACCTGGCTGCAGGGCGTCGGCTCGCACAGGTTCAGATTCCTCTGGCGCGGGTCGTCATGTGCCCTGAGAGGCAGCCGCCCTGTCGGCAATGGATATGGATCGGCTTGGGTCTCTAGGGCGTCCCCGACGTTCCATGGGCTTCTCGGCCAGAGGCTTGCCCGCTCCCAATGATAATTCCTCTGACTTGGCACTCGTGCACGCGGCCGCGCCCGGTCGAGGGGCTCGGGGCTCGCTGCCGAAGAGCTCTTCTTATCTTCCCGCGTGCCAGAGGCGCGGGCGAGTCGGCGCGGTTCGGGCCATCCCTCCACCACTCGCGGGGCATGCTGCCCCTGCTTGAGTTTGAGGACTCGCGGCGATGAGGCCCCTGTCATTCTCGTTCGCGACGCCCGCCGCGATCGTCGTCGACATCGGCCATCAAGTGGCAGTTGCGGTTGCGTCGCTGAGTGCGGTGATCGCACTCGAGATCGGGGCATCTTTTCGCGGCCGAAGCGGCGCCCTCGGCGCCCGTGAGATTCCAATCTGCCCCAGACCGAGCTCGGTAGCAGCGCCCGTCACAAGTGTCAAGATTTCACATAGTTAGAACTTGCAGCCGCGGACTCGATGCTCGCGCCTGTCCGCGGCCAAGTCGAGCTTGGCCTTCCTCGGCGCGCCGCTGCCCCCGTTGGGGCTCACGCGGGTGCCTCGGATGATGCGGCCCTCATCGTCGCACCAAATCTTGTTTGGAATGCCGATTCCTGACGTCGCGCTCACTTCGACCGCTGGATTGATGCCAGCGCGCGTCGTCGTCGGGGACAACAAGTTGGCCTCGGCCGTCATATGCACCGCCTCTGCCCTGGCCCTCGTTGGAGCGGTCGGCAGAAGAGCCTGCCACTTGCGCCCCAGCAGCGAAAATGGTCGAGACGGACTTGCCCTGGCCAGCGTCGCTCAGCTTCTGGGCGGCGACGCCGGCGGCCGGGGCTGGCCCGTGGCCGGGCACAAAAACCATCACATCGTTGCTTGGAACGTGTCCGTGCGCTGGGGCATGTAGCACGTGTCCGCGAAGGTGGGCATCAAGCTCGTTCTGAGTAGCCGGGATAATCTCGGCCTCGGAGATAGCGCCCATGTTCTCGTCGTCGCCCAAAAACTCGATGTCGCCGTTCTCCAGCGCGTTGCCGCGCGCGGGCATGCGGGCGTCTTGCCAGTCCTGGAACGGAGCGGCTTCCTCCTCGCAGCCGCGCAGCGCGTCGGAAGTCGCTGGCGCGCAACTCGACCCCCCTCGGGCCCTGCAACTAACCGCGCCACAAGGAACAGCGCGGACGGCGACGCCGCCGACGGCGAGTCGAGAATATTAAGGGACTGATCGACGCATGATATATATATATATATACACATACATATAGATATATGTATATGTATGTGTGTAGCTATATATATATATATATCGTCGATATGTTCTGTGCCAAAAATACGGGATCGCCCTGCTCCCCTTTGCCTTTCGAGCACTGGGCATGGACACTTGTACCACCGCCACAAGTGTTGCACGTCGTGCGGTTCTCGTTTCGGCCCACGGAGTCCCTCTTTCGCCCCGCGCCTTTTCCCGAAGTCCTCTGGCGGCCCTCACTTCTTCGAACTCGTAGTCACTAAGTAACCGCAGCTGTTAAATCTCCGCCGCCCCTTGCCCGCGCCACGCCCCTAGCCCCTGTTGTCGAATGCTCTTCGCGCTGCGCGCCTGACGTGTCTAACGGGTTTCGCGACGAATCGCTGCGGCGAGCAGCCTGTGGATACCCTGATGATAATTGCTCAGCTGTCTGTTCGTCAGCGAAGTGCACTGGTCTGTCTGTCCATGGTCTGTCTTCACCACCTAATAATCAGGCGGTGTCGGAGTCGGTGCCAGAGTCGAAGGGCGAAGCAGGTCGCCCTGCGCCCCCCTCGAGGGTGGTCGTTGGGTTTGACGATGGGGCGTACGCCGCCTGTTAACATTTGCGCCCAGGTGGCGCCACTTGGCCTGGCTGGGCGCTGCCAGTTCACTGGCCTGGCGATGCTGCGGCGCGCGAAGAATCTGCGTCCCCCCAGGCGGCTGTCAGCTGCAGGCGCCCCAGCGCCAGCTTGGGCGTTGCTGGCGGCGGCGTGGAATGCGCCTGCATAGCTTCCGCGCCCACTGAAGACGCGTCTTATATCACTTGGATCGCGTTCGGCTAAGTGGCCATTGCGCGCGCGCTCCAACAGTTGATCGCAATTTTGGGTGCGGGGCGTCTGGTGATAGAGCGGCTGCAGGAGCTGCGGGGCCCTGGAGGTGGCGACTCCAAGGGCAAGGTGATATTCCGGATCTGGGAATAGCGGAGTCGGTCTTGAAGCAGGCTGAGCGGCTAATGCCGCATAGACTCGCTCTTCACTTCGAAAGCGGAAGTCGATGAAGGCCGTGCCAGCCGTTAGTTGTCGTTCACTCCCTAGGTTTTCGAACTCTGAGCTGGGGGGCCTGATATGGATTACTGCGTCGGCGCGTTGACCTCGGATGACCACTCCGTAGTTCACGATGTGAGGCCGCAACCCCATCGCAACTGTCCCCGCGAGACCACCCAGACCACGCTGCAGTGTGGCGGCCTGTTGGGGTGGTGTCATCGCGCCGCTGGTAACGTGTAACCATGAGTGAAATTCGCGGACGGAATCGCGAAGAGGTACGTTGCCTGCGGGGTCCCAGGTGGGGCCCGCGGCACGGACATCACCCCATCCTCGTCGCATGTGCCCGTCTGCAAGACCGAGGCATATCCATATGGTGCCGAGTATCATGACCTTGATTATATTTCAGCGCCAACAGCACGAATGCCACTGCACTGCGGTGCGAAATAATTTGCTGCGTTGCATCGCACGGCATGCGCGCTCCACGCGCGCGATCCCTTCAGCCAGAACTGCATAGCATGACCTTGATCTGGTCATCGTGATCTTGATATCGCGCACAGTATGACCTTGGTCACGGATGTGATGGTATTGCTATTATGGGGCTGACGTGGCCGTCAGATTTCGGATGGGCGTTGGCGCCTGTGCACAAGGAGGCATCGAACCGCGTGGGAGAACATTGTAATGAAACTTGTTGTCACTTGGGTGTTGGTGTTGATTGGGGGCGTCGTGGCATATGGCCGTGGCGCACGCGCCGTGGTCGACGTGGCCGTAGACAGGTGCATCGTCACAGGTAAGCCAGTGGCCTGGCTTAGTTTCTCGACGGAAAGTTGGCGCAGTTGGAACCGCCATGCTATGTGATGGCCCTGTGTCGCGGACTGCCGGCATTAGATTCATCGCTGGCCACGCTGTAGTGAGGCCAGCTCCGCTACCTTCTCGACAACGGCATGATTAGCCGCAGCACAGAGAACGCAGCAAGGAGAAACAAGACGGTACATGGGACAGTAACTGTGGGAGAATGCACGATACAAGTACGACGTGCGTTTGTCTCGCGCCGCGGTTGCCAGACTTCTGGTTTGGCAAGCGCTGCTGCGCGCCGCTGCGAGCCGCAACGGCCGCGGATAGCTCTCTCTGCTCGCCTTCGACCTCCGCCCAAAATAAGAGGGCCCGGAGACATCCCCAAGAAGGGCCCAAGCGAGGGAACGCGGATCCAAAATCCGAATCTTCCGCCCCAGGAGGCCCCCAGGATGCAGTTGGTGATATGAGTGTTGGGCGCAAGCTTGCGCATTCCGCGGCCGCTTGGCTCGATGGAGCGGCCCCCCTCCAGCCGCGCCAGCGCGCTGTCTTTGAATCGCCGCGGAAGGCGGCCGATGGCGCAGTGAAAAACGAGAGAGCAGAGACAGAGTGGATCATGCATTGTGAGCAGAGAACACAGGGCGAGCCCAATCACATACCTCGGACGAGGACTACCGCGAGAACGCCTACGTGGTAGCGGAGCCGCGCGGCTCCGCGACCTCGGCGGGCTCGTGGTGGCTGAAGAGGAATGGAAGGGTCGAGCTCCAGCGTGGAACGGAGATCCCAAGACGCGGCGAGCATGCGGAAGGCCTTCACAGATCTGGGATCGACGAAGCGGCAGGATCGATGCTTGCGCGGCCCGAGGCTTGAAGCACAGCTGCAGGGCCGAGACCGCGGTGAAGAAGCGTCGACCTGGCTGGCAGGGCCAGTCGGAAGGTGCGCACAAGCCACTGGCCCACTTCGAAAAGAGATGCAACAGGATGCCAGTCCCCGACGCAGGCGCCGAGCTGGAGACTTTCCTGGTCAAGGCCCGTCGTCAGAGGTGAAGCCATGCAGCAGTGGGCGGACAGGTTCGAAGTTGGCCGCCAGTACTTGCGCAAGGCTCTGGCCAGGGCCCTCGAGAAGACGAAGACAGGTCGGGCGCCAGAGCCGCGACGCAAGACGTGGCGGTGGATCGAACCTGAAGAGGAAGAAGGCGAATGGCCCTCGGCGTGGGATGAGCAATTCAATCCCCATGACGAGCCCGTTTACCGTGGCCGCTAGACGGCGCCCAGTGACGACCCGCCGTCAGATGACGAGTACGAAGACCCGCCAGAGGTGCTCCCAAGCTTGGTGCGCGGATGGCTGGCCCTGGCACGTGCGGGGCCAGACTCACGGGAGAGAGCCGCGATCATGGCGTCGTCGGGTGGTTCCCATGAGTTTGAGGCCGCGAAGGCCGCCTTGATCTCCAACTGGGAGGATGGCGACCTCCGCGACAGGGAACTATATGCGAAGGAGGCATTCGCGGCGCAGAGCGTCGGTGACGACGAGATGACCCGGTGCGATGAATCGACGGAGCTGATGTCCCTGTCGGGCTACGCCGAGCAGGAGGACGAAACCCAGTTCCCGGACAGGAGGAGAAGTACGAGGCGATCCTGGTGGCCCAGCTTGAAGAGGCAGAAGCACTCCCCGCCATGGCAAATGCGCATCGCACCCTGAGGCAGGCTCGTGACGCACAAGCAGAAGTCCGAGCAAACCGTGGTTTCTACCGCCCACGGGGGAACGGAAACCATAATCCTGGCCCGAGAGATCCATGCCAAGACCGTTCGGAGCACGCGACAAGAGGCAGCCGCCACAAGAACAAGCAGCGCGCGGTTGCGCGAGGCGTGGCCCGAAGGACCGCCCGACCTTCATGTGCCCGGACAAGTGCGACAAGAGGCGCAGTGGCGAAAACGTTGCCGAGAAGGGCGAGAAGGTGCCCGGGGGCTCGGGGGCCCGGTTGTAGCACTGGTGGCCGACGCCGACATAGACGAGACGAAGATCATCACAGGAAGCGAGGAGAGCGCCGCTTTCGCACAGGGCACGGTCGAGCGCGGCATGGGCATCGTGGACCTCGGATGCGCCGACTCGATGGGCGGCGCGAAAACTCTGGATGCGATCGCCCAAATTGGCGGCGTTATGGGGGGGGCCCGGCCAATGGGCATAGACCTGGACACAAGCCCATCTACTCGCGCGGCGATGGGGAGCGAGCCCGCGCGCGCGGCAAGGTCCGCTTCCAGGTGCAGGCCAGAGGCCCCAAGGGCGACATCTGCATCAACGGCTTCGATAAGGACGTCCCTATCCTGATCGGCATGCGGGCGCTGGCCCGTCTGGGTACCGTATTGGACTGTGCCAGTGGGATTGCGATTCCCACGAAGATCTCAATGGACCCAGTCCAGTCGGAGGAGCACGACAACCTCTACTACCTCTCGCTGGTGGACGACCTGCTCGCGAACAAAGTGAAGGACAACAGGGGGCTCGATGATTTCCTCGAGATCGCCGCTGCCCTGACCTGCGGCGAAGCCCCCCCGGATTCTTCGGGAGGCGGCGCGCGCGCAGTGGAGGTATTCGGTTCCGATCCGTGTCCGCCGTCATGCATCGCATCTACTCCATCGGTCATCGCGGGGGGAGAGAATTCAACTTCGCCGCCGACACCTGTCGAGGGTATGGGGCGAGTGAATGGAAATCGCCGCGACCCCGGCACCTCCATTGCCATCGTGGCTCAAGGCTAGGAGCCGAGCGAACGGCAACCCAGCGGCACGGGGGCCGCCAATGACAGCATGCAACCGCGACGGGGCCAAGCAGGGCAAGCGGCCTTCGCCGCCATCGCGGGAGCGGTCCTCGGGCGCGCAGCGCGGCGTGGTGGAATGGCCGCACAACCGATCAGCAGTGGATGCACTCGTGCAGGTGGATGCGGCGACAATGCTCGAGGAGCTGGACGTTGCCGCCGGGCCGGCATAATCAACCTCGGAGCTCAAGGACATCCACAAAGACGGAATGTTTCCGAAGGGCGAGGGCGACGACCGCAAGAAGCTGAAGGGGATCACGGGCATCAAGGAGAGCGAGCTGATGGACCCGGCGAAGCAGGTTAGCGCCCAGGCCCACACCTCACCAGAGACGACGCGCGGAGGCCAGCGCATCCGCGCGCGCAAGGCAGCGATGGACCTGTCGGCGCCTCGCGGGGCCTACTACGTGGAGTTCGGCAAGCATTGCGCCATGACGCACCAGGAGGCGAGGTCGCAGTGCCTGGGCTACGCGAGACGGTATGTCCAGCAGGCGGGGAATGCCGACAGCTCGACGGGACTCGAGCAGTACGCCTCGTGGCTCAACGCTGCCGCGGTGGCCGAAGACTGCGACCCCCTGGAGGGCCCGAAGCCGAAGGCCCCACCGGCGCGGACACCGACGCCCCAAGCGACCACGACGAGGGAGGCCACGAGGGTCGACAGAGGAGGGGCGCGGACGTCATGATGCAGGATTCAGAGGAGGACAAGATCAGCAACATGCAGAACATGATGCAAGAGATGGTGGGGGCCATCAGCCAGCTGTCGGCGAAGGCGAAGGGTCTCGAGGCATCTGGGTCGGCCAGCGTGAGCGAGACGGACAAGAGCTGGCAGGACATCCCAAGACCAGAAGCGAACGCATCGAGCGGGCTGGACGCGGGGCGACCACCGAGGAGCTCCGGGCCCTGAGCACCCACCAGCAGCGCCTCATCGCTCATGCCATCTGGGAGCAGGGTGGTGAGAAGGAGTTCGAGGTGCTGATGGCCGGCCATGATGGCGTGCACCTGATGGAGCTGCGCTGCAGCCCCATGTCGTCCTTGGGCAGCGAGATGGAGAAGAAGGGCGGCAAGGGGTCAGCTGTGCGAGTGGGCAATTGAAATGGCCACAGGCTGGGAACTGTCAAAGGTGACCTGGCGGCTCGTAGAACAAGGGATCAGTGCCGGTCGAAGCACCTGTGGGCGTCGTCCAGGCGCGGCCCTCTCAGCCCGGTCACCATGGGCCTGAACGGCAGATCCAGTAACCCGGCCCCCGTGGATAAGACCCGCCAGAGGCGTGTGCAAGCCATCCGAGAGTGTAAGGGCGCCGTCCAGGTGGCCTGCGACCAGGCCGCCTCCGGTGGACACCCGCACTGGGAGTAGCCCATCGGGCGCGAAGGCAGGGCGCACAATATGATCAGGACGATGGTCGACGACCTGGAGATCATCGCGGTGAGAGTGGCTGGATGTGAGCTCGGAGCCAAGACCTCAGATGGCGGCATTGCGAAGAAGGAATGGCTAGTGGCCGCGACGCCACCGAGGATGGCAGCGCGCCTGGAGGTGGAATGTCCGCGGGGCCACGTGCACAAGCATCTCCAGGGCAGGGGCGTGACGGCCGCCAGCGCCTACTCCCCGGCCGAGATGGCACGTCGGGCTGTAGGGGCGATGCTGGGGAGCGAGTCTGGGGACTACCTGCAATTCGTGAAGGACGCGACCACCTGCGCGACGGCCAGCTCCTCGGAAAAGCCAGACAAGCCCGTGCAGGAGCCCAACGACAAGTCAAGCCCCTACGAGGATGCCAAGATCCACAGCTGGCGCGCATCAGTACACCGCGGTCGTGGCCGTGCATCCCGCGCAGCAATGAAGGCGGCGCTGCGGCGACAGGGGGCGCCCGAGAGGGTGATCGATGCATGCATGCAGCAGCCCCCCGCCCTGCTAGCGTCACTGGAGGGGGGCCCAGCGAAGTGGAGGCACATCCAGGCGGGCCAGTTCGAGTGGCGGCATCCGTGCCTCAAAGAGAAGCTGGAGGCCAGCATGATCACCGATGAGGGCCGCCGCGTGCGGGTGGCCAAGTGGCAGTAGCTGGTGGTGTCCGACGGCAGACAGGCACCCGCGGTGGGGCGAACTGAAGGGGTTCCACGAGGAAAGGTGGCTCCCCTACTTCGGAAAGCCACAACGATTCAGGCATGACCCTAAGGGAGCCTGGGTGGACAAGATGCCGCACTCTTTTTCGACGAGGACGCTGTCGTCCAAGAAATGATTCCTGGCCAGGCGCACTGGGATACCTCCATCGTGGAAGACGCGATCAGGGCGACCAAGGCGACCATGGATGCGCTGGTAGCGGAGAACCACTCCATGTCCAGCGAGGAGGCCTCGGCTCGCGCCGTGGCTGCAGGGAGCTCTCGCGAGGATGTGCGAGACCACTCACCACGCCAGCATGCCATGGGCCGTGCCCCGGACACAGATGGCCATTTCTTCGAGCCCGCCTTTGACGAGCTGCCCTACGTGGATGCACAGCGGGTGGACCGCCAGTTCGGTCCTAACTACAAGAGGATGTGCCAGGCTGAGCAGGAGTACCTCAAGAATGTCTACCAGCGGAGGATCAGCCGAACGGTGAATGCGCAGGGCCAGGTGCTCAACAGCGTCGCCCCGGGCATGTTCGCGAAGTACTACCGGAAGGGGAAAGGCGAGGCCCGCGGCGCATGCAAGGGTCTGGCGAGCGTCCAGGCCGTGGAGACCGCGCACACGTCAGGGCATGATAGTCAGCCGGAACTGCAGGCTACGCATCACAATTGGAGACCGTCCTCGATGGTGTGGCTCATCCGAGGAGGTCGACTCACGAAGCCAGACCTCACCCAATTGAGGGCTGCCAGTGCCCGTCAGGTCGCCAATGCCAAAAAGATGGAGGGCACCGGAGTGAACGCCCCATGGACCATATCCCACGCCGTGGGAGGTGCTCTTCCGGGCCAATGCATGGACATCACGGGGGTCGACCCGACCTTGCAAAGAGGAGGACGAAGCTTCCTGGGAACGAGTGGTGCGACCTCCAAAGACGATCAAAGTTACCGATGTGGAACCTCATAGGCGCACCCGTGACAAGCCCGAGCCGATGAAGGACGCTGCTCTCGCACGCGCCCGCTCTGAGGCAGAGAAGATGGCTGAGGGGCTCCGTCGACAGGCCGAAATGGAGCGCAAGAAGATCGCCGAGAGGCTACATCGAACGCATCGCGTTTCTGGGCAAAGGCGGAGACCATGGTCGAGGTGTCCGTGGAGCTGCCACAACAGCTCAAGAGGCTCAAGGCAGTGGCCTTGGACCTGAACTCATTCATGGCAAACCAGATCAACAAGGGTCGCCGAGAGGTGGCAGAGCGCTCCATGACGGCCACTGAGCATGAACAATTTCACCAGCGCTAAGCACGTCGAGGTGCACAACTACATTGTGTCATCAGTCATGGAGACCGTGCCCGCGGACGTGACACCGCCTCCCAGGTGGGTCTTGGAAAACAAAATCACCCAGAAGGACGGAACCACCAAGCCGAAGGCGAGATTGGTGGCGTTGGGTTACATGGACCCGCAGTGCGAGCATAGGCCGACGACAGCGCCTACGATGACGAAGACGTCGCGCCATCTTGTCCTGCAGATGACGGCGTGGCTTGGCATGGACGCCTAAAAGGCCGATGTAAATGGAGCTTTCCTACAGAACAAGCCGTCTCACCAGGACAACGCGTGGGTCATCCCTGTCCCGGCGCTGGTCAAGGCGGTGGGCATGGCAGAGGGGACGGCCGCGAAGCTCAAGAAGGCCTTGCACGCTTTGGTTGAGGCTGCCACCGAATGGTGTCTAACCGTCTCCGAGGTGATGGCCGAGCAAGGGTGGACTCGCATTAAGATGGACCCGTGCGCGTGGGTCCTGCATGGCAGCGACCACAGCCGGAACAAGAGTCACGCCCGAGCGAGTCTGGAGGAGCACCTCCTGGACGGCCCAGCGAAGTCGAAGATCGTAGTCCAAAGGAAGGAAAAAGACATCATTGGTGTTGCAGGTTCTCACGTGGATGACTTCCTGCACGGGGTGCGCCCGGATGACCCGCGGTGGGTTCAGGGCAACGCTTGAATGGAGGAACGATTTGACTGGAAGCAATGGGAGCGTGGCACGTTCTACAAGAGGTGGGTGAAGATCACACAGAAAATCGAAAAGGGGTTCGCGAGGGACCAGGAGGAGCACGCGAAGGGGATCTAGAATATTCACCTCAGCCCACAGAGGAAGAGCCAGAAGGAGTCGGAGACCACTGATGCCGAGAAGACGCAGCTGCGGGAAGTGCTGGGCGCGCTCGGCTGGCGCTCTGAGCAGACAGGGCCCATGCACAGCAGATGCAGTATGGCAGTTCAGCAACGTGCCGCACTCGAACGTGAAATCGCTCGAGGACGTCAACACGCTCATGGACCAGGTCCGCGAGCAGGCGGATAAAGGCTTACGGATCCACAGCCGCAAGGGGTCAGACGTCATTGCGCCTGCGGTGTGGGCTGATTCCTCGGAGGCCAATCGGCCCGATGGGCGCAGCGCGAAGGGGGCGATGGCAATGGCCCCCTTGGAGATCTTCGGCGGCAACGACTGCGACGCGACGATGGTCAACTGGAAGCCTGGAAATATAGACAGGATGTGACGATCCAGTACTGCGGCGGAAACGAGGGCTACCGTGGATGGTGAGGATGAGCTGCACGGGCTGAAACTACAGTGGCTGGAGATGTTGGGCAACGAGATCGACTGGCGATTGTCACAGGGTGTCATGTGTAGCTTACCGGCTGCCTGCGTGACGGACTCCAAGGGCCTGCATGACAAACTCAAGACGGTGGTGTCTACCCCCAAGGGTAAGGAGAAGAGAATGGACATCGAGGCTATGACCATGAAGGACGAGAGCGCAAGAGATGGCAACCAGCTGATGTGAGCGCACGGGTACTTTTTTCTTATTTGCGGCCCGCAAGGAAAAGTCCAGAGGGCGGTCAGAACGAGGCTGGGGCACAGCGCACGATGATTAGCGCGAGAACGCGTGGAATGCACATGCAAGACAATTAAACGAGCCGGCCACAGGTGGGCAACCACAGGCCGGACCCGCAGGAGGGGCCGGGATGAAAGCGCACGGGTACGCGCAGCTGGCGAACAGCCTGACGAGGGGACACGAACCGCACCAGCTCAAACTGTGCTACAACTGCGGGGCCAGGTGGAAGCTGGTGCATGACGGGAAGTTCCGCAGCGCGAGGCGCCGGAAGACTGAGGGTGTGGAACCCTTCGATGCTCCTAAGGTGACGACGAAAGGCAAGTTCAACGAGGCGAGTGGCTGTCAGGACCAGCGCTACGAGGAGCTCACCGAGGACGAGACGGATGAGGAAGATGCAGACGAGGAGATGCACAACTTGGAGAATTTCCCCTCGTGCAATTGGTGATATGAATGTTGGGTGCAAGCTTGTGCATTCCGCTACCGCTTGGCTCGAGGGAGCGGTCTCCCTCTAGCCTTGCCGGCACACTGCTTTTGAGGCGCCGCGGAAGGCGGCCAATTTTGCAATGAAAAATGAAAGTGAGAGAGCAGAGACATAGTGGATCAGACATTGTGAGCACTGTACGCAGGACGAACCCAATCACATACCTCTGACGAGGACTACCGCGAGAACACCTACACAGGGGGCCCCCACTGGGGGCCTCCCAGGAGGCCCCCAGAAGGCTCCAAGGAGGCCCCCGGACGGCCCTAAGGAGGCCCCCTGAAGGCCCCTAGAAAGCCCCAAGAGGCCCCCAAGAGGCCCCAGGAAACCCCTACGAACCCCCCGAAACGCCCCCAAATGCCCCACACCGACCCCCAATAGGCCTCGAAACGGCCCCAAGAGGCCTCCCGCGACATCCCAGCGAATATCCTAGAGACTCATGGCCCACAACTCAGGCACGGTGGCCGAAGGCCATCCTATATGTGTGTAGAGATACGTGTGTCTGTATGTGCGTGTGTATACATACACATATATATACACACAAGTGGCACATGTGTGCCCAGGCTCATACAAAAAAATGAAAGGGTGTTTGAAGCAGGAAGACACCTTGACGGCGGGATCGGAGATGGAAAAGGGGAAGCTGGGCCCCCCCCAGGAAGCCTCAGGAGGCCCGACTTGGATACCGGAAGAGGCTCCAGGAGGCCCCAGGATTGTGAGTGCTGTGTGGGTCTGTGTGTGTGATGTGTGCTCTGTGTTGTGCGTGTTTTCTGTGCGTTGTAGGTGTTGTGTGTGTGTGTTACGTTTGTCTAGCGTGTGATGCCCCAGGAGGCCTCAGGAGGCCCCAGGAGACCCCAGGAGGCTCCAGAACTCCCCAAGAGGCTCCAGGAGGCCGCAGGAGGCCCCAGGAAGCCCCAGGAGGTTCCTGGAACCCCCCCAGGAAGCTCCGAGGCGGCGTCTGGGGTACCAGAAGGTACAGAAAGCCCCAGGAGGCCCCAGGAGGTTCCAGGAGGTCCCCAGGAGGGCTCCGAGGCGGGGTCTGGGGTACCAGAAGGTACGTGGGGGCTCGATTTTGGGAGGATGTCTCAGGCGAAACCGCCATTCTTTGAGAATCGGGGTCAAACGTATTGAAATTACAATGTGTTTTTGATTGTTTCATGTTAAAATGTTGAAAGTCCTATGTGTTTTTGGACCCTGACGTCACGATCTGTGTGAGGGGTGCTACCGATTTTCAGAATTTCGAAGATGTCCCTAGCGAAACGGCCAGACAAATCGCGAACGACGCGGCGCGTGTGCATTAATCGCCTCTAAGCTCTACTCCCTCGGAGAAGTGCGTATGATAATATATATATATATATATATATATATATATATATATATATATATATAGGCGCCCCCATCCGCACATTCAACCAAAGAAAAATAATCTGCATTAGGAGCGGCGGGCTTGGCCGCAGAGACACACGACACACGCGCGCGCACGCGCACACGCACACACACACACATACACACATACACACATACACACATACACACATACACACATACACACATACACACACAGAGCGTGCACGTGCAAGCAAAACCCATATGCCCAAACCTGGTTTCTGGCCGGC